TAAACATGCATTATATGTTCAGTTTGTTTATATCTTAAAAACTACTATAAAATAATGCCAAACACCAATAGATTATGTACTAATCGAAATAATGCCAAACAATCATTAATACAAGTTTTCATACCAAATTTAATGTCATTTTTACTTGCTACCATTTCCTCATTTAGCCTTATCTTACCAGTATTACAAGCCAACTTTAGAGTCAGACAAATGGATTCAGTCATACCTTAGAACTTCAAAAGAGGAAAAAAATCAACTATTTATTGAACCAACACAGAATTATCTTTTCCAAATTATGCCTTGTATATTTTTAGGACGTCCTCTGATTAAACAATTCATGCAAGTACTGAAGGCTCAGGGTCATTACTGTCCTCAAAACAATACTGTTGCTAAAAGACACCAATTCTTCCACAAATAATGACAATATAGAATAGTGTGACTCTTGCTTGTCATACAACAGGACCCATTATATTTGATCTGATGCTATACCAACAATTGGTTATGGGAGCCTATGTTTCATTGTATTCAGACATTTTGTGTGCATCCCCTTTATAAAGTTATCATACACATCCACTATATTTACGTGGTTGTTATATCTGTCAGCTTTTGATTGATACCTAATTTACATTTGGAAGCGCACTTTTAGTGATCTAATCACTTAGGTTCACACTTTTCACAGCTCTTGGATGAAGAGAATGTCCAACCAGACTGCGTGGAATGAAGATTGGGCTCTAATATCATTACAATTATTGTGCATATGTTCTTTGGTTATTCTTGAAATTGCTGAACCAGCAAACATAAGGTTTAAATACATGGATCATCAGCGAATGGATTTTCTATGTTCTACAGATGTACTGTACAATCTGGGTATTATTTCAGAACATTTCCAAATGAATATATTCACCAGAAAGTACTGGATGCCTGTTGGTGAAGAATAATTACAGTACAGAAGCAGGGTAGTGCAGAAGGATACCATTTGGCCAGTGCTGTCTGTGCCACAGCTCTGTGAAAACAACTCAATTTGTCCCACTCCCCATTTACCCCGTAACTGCAATATTTTTCTCTTCAGGTGCTTATGAGATAATAATCTAATCATGTACATTAAATTACATTATAAATTAATAATTAAACTCAAGTGACTTATCTTCATCACAGATTATTATAATTCACTGACAGACATTCAACATTTACAGGATAGTGAATCTCTGATTTATTTTAAACAAATAATATTGCATTGTGACTTTCATTTGATATAGTTTGTTTTTAAATTAGCGCTAAGTGAGCAACACTGTAACTTTTGTAACGTAATAATCAAAACATTTGACATTTCAGGATGTGGTTATGACTAATAAGAATTAGAAAGAAAACCCGGACCCATTTGGTTGTGAATTATATCCCGAGCTTTTTTCTTAGGTGAATATGGCAAATGCAACTTTTTTGGACAAGGTTTGGAATGTTTGACTGGCATTTCAAAAATAGCATTTAATACTTCTCAATTTGTAATTGGACCCAGTCCTTTATGATGACTCAACACGTTGACCTCTATTTTTATTACACTGTTTTTCTGGGGCTTAGGATCATATCACAAGTCCATATTTTTAAATGAAAACCACAAATCAATAGACTGGTTTATAAACCCACCTGAAATTTTTCATATCGTGACAAGCGCAAAAAGAAATCAAGTCAGAGTAACAGGGTAAGCTTGTTATTTAAATGCAATTATTTTTGTTTGATATCAATTGCATCTATAACACACTTCCAAGTCACATTTGAAACATTAATACACTGATATTGTTGGTGCCTATTTCTTTTGAAAAAAGAGCTCAGAATAATCTGATTATATAAATAGTCACCAGTGAATGTAATCATCTTGACAAATGAGAATTTGCTTTGACTTTCAATACTTGTGGTTCATCACCTATCGATGCACCAAAGGAAATGATTTATTTCAAAGCCAGATTGAAAGAAGGGCACCAGATGTCAGACAAACTTAATAGCATTAGTCTCTTCTCATTGCTCAGCGACATTCAATAGTGGGTGCATGACTTCCAGAAAATACCGTTGACCAACGTGTGACAATAATTATTTTTGATACATGGCTACTAGTCATACCATTGTCCAAATAAAGTTAAAACTGTATAAGTCAACAATTACTTTAACTGGCATTTTATATTTTTACACTGTTCTTATTAAGCTGATTGTGTTATATGAAAGGATTCCTTTTGTATATTTAAGATTCTAATTCTACGCTGAATCTTTTGCATGTAAAAAAAGGACTACCTAGCAAAATATTACAATGCTGAATGTTTGTGGAATATTTCTAACATATTATTTAGATTGACCATGTTGAATACATATATTTTTAAAGCTGTTAGTAAAACATCCACTCTAAAGGGAGAAAGAACAGAATGTACTGCTTGGCATAGCTCAATGAGTGCCAAAACACAGGCTTGTTTCACCCACAGTTTCAGGTGGGTGGATGCCTTATGTCAAGCATGAACGACTATTGCAGAGTTTGACAAGACAAATATTTGATTTTTATATGAAACACATTTGATTATTGATGTCAATTATTATTATTACTTTGCCTTTTATCGCAACTACTATGGACTTATATTCCGTGAATTTTTTGAAAATTATTAAACTCAATCATGTTACTCATCATGGCAAAATAACATGACATTCAATACAACTGAAACACTAACACACACCTTATTTAAAATAAATACAACAATAATTGCAAATGAAACCTCTCCACACAAACTTATCCTGATGCACATTTAACAGATTTAAATGTCACCAGTAATTCCGGCTGCTAATTGTGATATGCAAGTATATCAATAAGCCTGCCACTGTGAGAAATCTAGCATGATTCCTTTGCGTCAGTTCTGACACAGCATCCCAAGCAAAGAATTAACCTGTCTTTCACATTCAGACATGGATTGACCTGCTATGCATTAAGAGCATTTTCTATTTTTATTTCACAATTCCACAGCTGGTGTGTGAATTATTTATAAAGTTATAGAGAAAATATATAAGTGACTACAATACATGACATACCTGATATTCTGAATTATACTTCTCCTGAAATAGTTATATTTGGATAACTAAATAGAATGTCAATTAGCAATAACAATTATAAATATGATCATCATTTTGTGAAACGTATAATACGTAGTTCAATTTTCTTTGCAGAAATGTTCAAGTTTAGGTACATTCCATGGAGCCTCATAGCCCACATGCACAGTTCCAATGTTCACCTAAATTTAGAAAATTTCCCAAACTCCATGTATTAACTTAGTTTAGATCCCCAATTCAGAATTCATCCATTAATGAGATAACCAGACCAAGGTCAGTTGTTATTAACTTGAAAATTCCAAAAATTTATATGGAACAAATCAGGGAAATATGAAATCATGGGAAACAAATAAAAGTAGAAATAAAACTGAATTAGCCTCACTGGCAGCGTTCATGGACTCTATGTGGGTTTAAAATGGGATACTCCTGCCTGATTGCCCATCAAGAAAATGGTCAGCCAGGTCATTATTATTCCATTGATAGAAATATTCTTAGGGTATTAAACAAAATATGTCCTTTTCAAATCTAAGGAAAATAGTAATTCTTAAAAGTTTATTTGAACTGACAATTTACTCTTTTTATTCCTAAAGGAACAACTTTGATTTTGCAGGAAATCTTCCCACATAGTTTATACATAAACAAGAATTTCTCCAATGTTAATTGTAAAATAGTGATCTTGAAATTGTTTATGAGGGTAGTTGAGCGATCATATTTTAGCACAGATTTTGATCCCCTTTTTTAGTTATTTGATGTGTAGTGTTTATGAATTTTAAAAATTAACTTAATAATTGACCTGACTAACCTTGCTTATCTAGTACCCATCTTGTTCAGGCTATGTCAGAACATCAACAATAACTGGTAGTGTCACAGTCATTCCAGTACAATCTCAAATAGGTTCCAATAAGCACTACATCATCTAAAATATTAATGCAGTGTTCCACTGATAAATTCAAACAATTTTCCCTTTAGTATTTTTTAAAATACCTATAATCAAACAGCCAGTTTTCACAATTTTAACATAAACCCTGCTCATTCAAGCAGCAATAACAGGTTTACTTGCTGAAGCTGTCTGCTGACACCACCTAGAGGTTTTAACTGAGTAGCAGCGTTTCATTGCTCTGAGCAAAGGTGAAATAAAATCATGATTATTTTCACTAAACCATAGTTATTAACATTGAAATACATAGCAACTTCGGATCAATTTAATATTACTTTTCTCCACTGACTTGAAATAACCACAAGATTTATTCATATTTTGAAATTAGTAACATTTCAACTTAGAAGCTACAAGCAGAAGCATTTGCCTTGAAGCCTCTAATTTTTTTTAAGTCTTGTTGAAACATGAACAGTTAAATCTACTGTCACTTGCACACTAATACAGTACATTAGAATTAACAGTTCTATTTTAGCTTATGTATGATTAATGTTTTATTTTTCATACAAAGACATGCTACTGTCCATTTCTGACCATTTCCTCTATGCAATAAAGGTGTAATTCAGTCATTCAGAAAACTACAGCCAACTCCTTACTTTTCAGATTTTAGTGTCATTTTGGATAACTCTATCAACAGCTTTTATTTAAAGCCTATTACAACTACTTAAAATAAACGATGTTTAGCTGGTCTTATATCCTGACATGTTGATATTTTTCTATTCCTTCCCAATAGAAAAGTTAAAACACTGGACTGAGAAAAGCCTTCAGGTCCAATAAACAGAATATACACTTTAAACAAAATAGTTATTTCAGTTTTTGATTGAAGTGTTCACGGTGGAAACATACAAGTATATTTCATAGATTTAAGGTTGATAATTGCTGAAATTTGTTTGGCACATTCCATCTTGCTTGGCACAACCGAAGTTTACAAAAGGTTAGCATGAAGCCATAGATGAAAAACATTTAAATTCATCACTCTCCTACTCACCCTGCTAGCCAAGAGACCACCAACGCCAGACTAAGAAGCGCTGAAGGCAGAAATTTGTTCATGGTCAGATTTCTCTTCATCGCTGCTCCTTTAAAATAAAAAAGTTAAACAGCACAGCTAAAGAATAAGGAAAGCAGTAATTCTACGTAAGCCTCTACAAGTGTCGGAATCGCGCTCGTTAGCTTTCACTGACTTCAGTACCTAATGCTAATTCATGTGACAAAGCCCATTTTACAATATGATCCACAAAGTACTGTAGATTTTTTTATTCTCTATCGGCGAAATGATGCATTCAGGATAATTAGAAAGCGTACATTTTAAAATCAGATGTATTAGCGTTTGTATATATAGATATACGCATGCAGAAAATGATTTTTCGAGGTATCTCTGTATTTTAGACAACTGGTAGCCGTTGGAATATTAGAGACTTTAGGACAATTTGGATCCTGCATTGAAACATTTATCTTATTGCAAATCTAGGAGCCTGGGTTTGCAAATCGTACACAGGGTGCGATGCAAGAGCTAAGAATGGTTGCAGTCTGCAGGTTATTTACCTCAAAAGACGAGCCAAAGTGTGCAAGGGGTGAGCGCACGGCGCAGGGTGAGATAGTTATCCCCAAACCCCAGCACCCCCGCCCCATCCTTTCGGGATTCCTCAGTGAGAGAAGCACAGAGTGTTTGCTGCCAGCGCTCGCAACTCTTACCTGGGTACCCGAGGGAGGTGCGGGAGGGGGGCGGGGGGGTTGGGTGGAGAGGATTGGGGGTGGGGGGGAGTACAGGGGGGAGGGAGGGGGACAGGGACCCGGGGCTCCCGCTGAACTGCTGGGCTCCTGCACTCAGCCTGCTGCCGGAGGAGGAGGAGGAGAAGCAGCCCTGAGCCCGGAAAGTTGCCTTGCTCCGAGTGCGATGCTGCAGCGGCAGCGGGCAATACCCAAGTACGCGCACCGGGCCGGCTCGGGGCCGCGCACACTCGGGGGCGCGCCTGTCTACACTGACACCACCTCCGGCACCGCTAATTTATGCTGAGCCATGGTGGCTCCCGGGTGCTGACCGTCCCCTTCTCCTTAACCTGGATCCAATTGCTGCAGGGGCGGCTCCGGGACACCGCTCCCGGGCCATTCGAAAACCACACACACGTACACACACACTGCAGTTACACAGTCTCCAGTTATACACACACAGATACACTCCAGTTACACACACAGACTCCAGTTATATATACACACACAGAGACTCCAGTTATACACACGCACACACACAGAAACACTGCACTTACATATACACACATAGGCTCCAGTTATATACATACATATACTCCAGTTATACACACATACACAGACACACTCCAGTTCAAACATACACTCCAGTTATACACAGACACACTCCAGTTCAAACACACAGACACACTCCATTTATACTCACACATTCTCCAGTTATACACACACAGACTCCAGTTATACACACAAAGACACACTCCAGTTATACACATACACTCCCAGTTACTCACACACACTCCAAGTCATACACATGCACACACCCAGTTACACACACACACTCCAGTTATACACACACAGACCCACTCCCAGTTACGCACACACATACTCCAATTATACACACACCGACACACTCCAGTTATACACACAAATACTCACTCCAGTTAACCACACACACATTCCCAGTTACACACACATACACACACTCCCAGTTACACACACATACACTCCAGTTATACACATATACACACACTGCAGTCATACACAGACACACTCCAGTCATTACACACAGAGACACACTCCAGTTATTACACACACACACAGACACAATCCCTAACAAAACTGGAATCAATGGGTATCAAGGGGCAAACTCTCCGGTGGTTGGAGTCATTCCTGACACATAGGAAGGTGATGGTGGTTGTTGGAGGTCAATCATCTCAGCTTCAGCACATCTCTGCAGGAATTCCTCAGGGTAGTGTCCTAGGCCCAACCATCTTCAGCTTCTTCATCAATGACCTTCCCTCCATCCTAAGGTCAGAAGTGGGGATGTTCGTCGATGATTGCACAATGTTCAGCATCATTTGTGACTCCTCAAATACTAAAGCAGTCCATGTTCAAACACAACAAGATCTGGACAATATCCAGGCTTGGGGCAAGTGGCAAGTGACATTTGAGCCACACAAATGCCAGACTATCACCATCACCAATAGCAGACAATCTAATCACCAGCACTTGACATTCAATGGTGTTACCATCACTGAATTCCCTACTATCAACATCCTGGGGGTTATCATTGACCAGAAACTCAACTGGACTCATCACATAAATACAGTGGCTACAAGAGCAGGTCCGAAGATGAATACTGTGGCAAGTAACTCACTTCCTGACTCGTCAAAGCCTGTCCACCATCTACAAGACACAAGTCAGGAGTGTGATGGAATACTTCCCACTTGCCTGGATGAGTGCAGCCCCAACAACACTCAAGAAGCTTGACACCATGCAGGACAAAGCAGCCCGCTTGATTGGCACTACGTCCACAAGCATCCACTCCCTCCACCACCGACGCTCAGTAGCAGCAGTGTGTACTATCCACAAGATGCACTGCAGAAATTCACCAAAGATCCTCAGACAGCACCTTCCATACCTGTGACCACTTCCATCTAGAAGGACAAGGGTAGCAGACATATGGGAACATCACCACCTCCAAGTTTCCCTCCAAGCCACTTACCATCCTGGACGATTGCTTGGAAAATCAGAAATATATCACTGTTCCTTCACTGTTGCTGGGTCAAAATCCTGGAATTCCCTCCCTAATAGCATTGTGGGTCAACCTACAGCAGGAGGACAGCAGCGGTTCAAGAAGGCAGCTCACCACCACCTTCTCAAGGGCAACTAGGGATGGGCAAGAAATGCTGGCCAGCCAGCGATGCCCACATCCCACAAATGAATTTTTAAAAAGTTATACACACACAGTCCACCACAGTCCGAAGTGCAAATGCACCCAGCCCAGTTACACGTACATCCTCCCACCCCAGTTAAACACATACACATCCTAGTTATACACATACTCATCACCCATCCCAATTATACACACACCACATCCCTACCCAGTTATACACAGGCTCACCACCCACCCTATTTACACAGACACACCCACTCCACTCCAGTTATACACACACAAGCCACACACTCCAATCATACATACACAGACCCCAGTTATACAGACACACATCACCATAACAGTGAAACACATACCCGCTTATCACTCATTCAGTTACATACAGACCACTCACCCAGTTAAACGCACCCACATATCATCCACGTCAATTAAACACTCCCAGCCCAAATAAACATACCAATGTTAAACACACCACCCGCTCCAGTTATACACACCCACACAAAGCACACACTCCATTTATACATATCCTGCCACACTTCACGCACCCCAATTAAACACACCCACCTACATTATCTACCAGCGCACCTAACCACAGTTGCCAACCACAGAAACCCACGCACGCCGGCTGAACGCGCGTCCATCCCCAAAAACACAGCCTCCTTCCTTCACCAACCACCTCCGCGAGCAAATCAGATTCCAACCCCCACCCCCGCCACACCAAGCCCATGTGAACTATTTCAGCATTCATCGCCCCTTTGCCTCTTCCACTGTGCAAATTAGATAAGTATGAATATTTCTTTAATTATCTCTTGGCATCAGTGCTGCCGTTGTGCAGCTGGATGCTGGGTTTTGCAGTTTTATGCTCAACGTCGATGTTTCTTAAATGTAACTACAATGTGTGATCCTCTCATGAAATGTGCTTCTGCTTTTGGGGGCTTGACTGGTTATCTGCAAACGCACGACAGATACGAGGATCTTAATCTGATTATTTTAGTATTTTCTCCGTTCCCTAATGTCATCGCTCCCTTTCTGATTTTCCGAGCAATCGTCCAGGGGTCCTTTAGTCGTGTCTGTTGCAACTGTCACCTCCTGTGCTTATTAACGCCGTGATTTTTCTTCTATTATATTTAATGAGCCATCGTGTGTTTTAATTTGCAGGTTGTTGACAAATTGAATGGATACATTAGTTTTACTAAATGATTTGTTTACATTTATAAGTTTTGTCACATTATTATTCTGTTTATGTATTTGTCCGTGTTTGCGCTGCTAGTTATGATGGAACTCTGTTTGATTTTGTCTTGTGAAGAAAGAATGAACGACAATGATCTAACTGGGCACGTATAATCATGAAAACGAGTAACCCAATGTGGAAAACATGCAAATCCATGAAGTGATACGGCGCTTTTTAACCTACTTTATAATCTGATTTACAGCACTTAACGCTAGTATAAAACACTTCAAGTTAGAGGGATCAGTCATTTAAATTCTGTCTATGTACACTTCCCATGAATAATTAAATGCCTGTATTTTCACAGCCTCCCTTGACAGGGAAGATAGAGAAACAGCAGAAGAGGAGAACAAAGATAGTGGATGTGTTAACTGTTATTACAGAACTTACATGTTGGTGTCTTTTTTTTTGTTATTTATTTCTGGTCGCGTTTTCATTGCTGTACGAATATTAAACATATTATTTGTATTGTTCAATTCATTGAATGACGTTTTTCTTTTGTTGCATGTATTAGATACCTGTAGTTCCATTATGTCTCCCTTATAGATAATAAGCAATGGTTGTACTTAAATAAACCTACTTAGTAGAGTAATAAGTGCATTGTTCTTTTAAAAAAAAACTATAAACCCAAATCTATGGAGCAGTGTGAGCCCTCAGCAGCAGAATTGCATTTAGCCATAATCTGTAACCTCAAGGCTTTTCAGGTTCCCCACTCTACCATTACCATCAAGCTGGGAGATGAACCTTGGTCCACTGAAGAGTACAGGAGGGCATACTAAGAGCAGTGCCAGGTATAACTTAAGTTGAAGTGTCAACCTGCTGAAGCTATAACACAAGACTAGTTGGATGCCAGATATCACAAGCAGCAAATCATAGAGGTTCACAATACAACAAGAGGCCACTTGGCCCAATGTGTTTGCCCCTTTCACCAAGCCTAAATCTACTCTAATGTCACCTCCC